TCTTTCTTTCTTTCTTTCTTTCTTTCTTTCTTTCTTTCTTTCTTTCTCTGTCCCTGTCTCCCTTTGTTTTTTCCCTCTTCCTCTCCTCTCCTCTCCTCTCCTCTCCCTGTCTCTCTTTCTCTTTTTTTCTGTTTTCCTTTCTCTCTCCCCCTCTCTGTCGTTCTTTATTCCTTCCTTCCTCTCCCCCACTCTGTTTCTCTCTCTCTCTTTCTTTCTCTGAAGAAAGCAGCCTGTGAATGAGAAGCGAAACGTTTTCAAAGCAAAAAGCCGAGAAAGTCAAAATTGTCTTTTGAAAAGAAAAAAAAATGCACCTTTGGGACTCTGTTCTTTTTTTTCCCCCTGGGAGTTTAAACCTTCTGCCTTGTTCCGTCTCTCTCTCTTTTCCCCCTTCTGGTCTTCAGGACGCTGTTGGATCTTCTCCTGCTTAAATGTGATGCGCCTGCCACTCATGAAGAAATTGAACATTGAGGAGTTTGAGTTCAGCCAGTCCTACCTCTTCTTTTGGGACAAGGTACCGCTGCTGCTCGGAACGGCAATTTTGTCTCCCCTTCCTTTGAGTTCAGGCAGTCCTCGTCTTACAACCATCCATTTAGCGAGCAAACTTAGAACACTCCAGGATTCTGTGACCGTCCTAAATATGAGCCCCGTTGCCAAGCATCCAGACTGTGACCACGGAACAGCTGCAACGGTCATTAAGTGGGAAAACGGTCCCTTTCTTTCAGCGCCGTTGTAACTTTGGTTGGTCGCTAGATGAACTGTTGTAAGTTGAGGATTACCCACATCAAGGAAGTTGATAGAATAGAACCATTCAAGGACGGAGGCAAAAGGAGGGAGAGAAGTGAGATGGGAACGACAAAATGTTAAAAGTAATTTTTTAAAATTCATTTTAAATTGTTAAATGGAATTGAGTTGGCCCATTCCATTCCTATCAGGCACCCTCTGAATATGGAGGCTGGATGATGTCGTTTTAAATTTCTAGTCTTTTGAGATTATTATTACTGATATTTATTTATTTGTTGCCCATCTCACCACAAAGGGTCCCTGTTGGAATCTGATTCCGAGGGGGAGGTTGAGCAGCTGACAGGGAGTGGGAGTGTGGCTCCGGTGGCTGTGGAGGAAACTGGGGAAGGGCACAATCCGGCTGGGCATTCAGAGGAAGGCCCAGGCTCACCCTTTCTTCATCCTAGGACACGCAGGGAGAAACGGAGAAGGGAGCAACATGGCTTACGGGAGAGGAAAGGGCCCTGATTCCCTTCATTAGCTGCAGCTGGGAAAACAGGATTTAAAAAGGGTGTTTGCGCACAGCACCTTGCTGGAAGCAGAGCGTGAATTATTTTTGTTTATCTGGGTTCTGGCCTCCTCCCAACTGTGTGTGTTTTGTTATATTTTGGAAGTCTGCAGTTCCTTATCCTTCCCTGTCTCATTAATGGTTTGTGTGGGTTTTTATTTATAATTTATATGTACTTTGGGTTCGGATGGAATTTCTTCCCTTTAAAAACTGTTATTGGGGGAGTTTGTTTTTTTTCTCCAGCCGATGATAACTGGACATTGGGGGCCAAGTTGGAGGAATTAAAGGGACTTTACCTATTTTTGTGACTTGGTTGCTTTTGTGTCACGTCACGAGTCATCACAGTTCTGTTGAATAAGGGAAGAACAAAAGTGGTCAATTTTATCCGTATAAATTGGACGTTTATGGTGTTCGCTAGGGATTATAGTAATAATGTATATTTATATACCCTTTGCTGTTTTGTCTATGGAGACTTTCTGTCATCCAGGTTGTAGTTATCCTAAAGAGCTTTTTTTCAAGAGGCAAACTGGACTTTCTGTTTTTTCTTTGAAGATGTTTTGCTTCTCCTCTAAGAAGCTTCTTCAGCTCTGACTAGATGGTGGGGAAGGGAAGGATTTACACTCCTTGCAGACACAGCTGGTCATTTGCATCCTTTTTAGAGGGTCGTTGAGGCCACTTGGAGGTTCATCTGTATCCTCGGGGTCACCTGAGTTTGCAAATGGTTCCTGTGGTCTGCGATCCCCCCCCCTCCGAAACCCATTCCTACTCCCACACCATTCATAGGAACAAATCCTCTGGCAATCCAATCCATAGGAATGGATTTCCAGAGGGGGAAAAAATTGCAGACTACAGGAACCATTTTGCAAACTCAGGTGACCCTGAAGACACAAGACAAACCTCCAAGTGGCCTCAAGGACTCTCTTAAAAAGGATGCAAAGGACCAGCTGTCTTTATGCAAGGAGTAGAAATCCTTCCCCGCCATCCGGTCACAGCTTGGATGAGAAGCCAAACACCTTCGAAGAAAAAAACAAAAGGCCATTTTTGCCTCTTGAAAAAGCACCTTTGGGACAGATTATAGGTTACTGGCCTGAGCCAGGGGTTGGACTAGAAGACCTCTACGTTCCCTTCCAAGTCTCGTTATTCCAAATGCTGGGAATTGTAGCCCCGGCAGATTGTTTGGTGGAGTAAGAACATTTCAGCTCCTTACCTAGACCAATAATTTCTCAACTTTAGCAACTTTTAAGAAGGGTGGGCTTCAATTCCCAGAATTCCCCAGCCAGCCATGCATGGCTGGCTGGGGAATTCTGGGAGTTGAAGCCCACCCTTCTTAAAAGCTGCTAAAGTTGAGAAATAGCATTTTAGACAATGTGGCTGCCAGCATTGTGTTTACAGTTCCTGCACCTCTCAGTCATTATTGCGAAACCAGGAATGACGTGGAGAAGATGATGAATCAAAAAAAGGGACTTTATTTTTCCCGTCTAACGTAAGAAGCAACCTTTGCTTTTCTACGGTGTGGAAGTAGCTGCTTTCAGGCGGATCTCGGGTTGATTTACGTACTTGGTTCCTTTCCCAAGAGTTTCGGGCGTTAGCTGACAAGGAAGAAAGATTTGAAATATGAAGACAGTGTGATAAAGGGGGTGGGGTACACAAAACAACCCACAACCTGCAATTAAAGATTACAATAGAAAATTGCTGTCTTCTCCTCCTCTTCCTCTTCCTCCTCCTCCTCCTCCTCCTCCTCCTCCTCCCAGCACTGATGATATTCCCTAGTTGGGTCATGAAATGTCTGCAAGAAAGCCACCAGAAGAGCAACAAGGACCCCACATTGTTCCTCCTCCTCCTCCTCCTCTCTATAAACCCTACTTCCTTCTACACTTCAGGGAGGGGCCTTGGTGCTTTTCTTGCAGACGTTTCATGACCCAACTAGGTAACATCATCAGGGCTCATAGGGAGAGAGATTTGCTGTCAGGTTGTATTCTAGCGGCTTGCCCTTGGAGGGTAGTAGGATAAAAACACCAGATACAGTCTAAACATCTGGCTGACCACCACCACCCCCAATAAGAATACCAAGGTGACGGTTGGGCAGGTGCCAACAGAAGGATGAAGGCCGGGGCCTCCAACCTTGGCAACTTGAAGACTGGTGGACTGGTCTGCTTATAGAAAGGAAGGACAAGGGCTGACACCGTGGGTGTAAAAAAAATAACCTCACACTTAATACCAAAAAAAAACCCCTATAATCGATTTCAGGAGGAAGAGAGATGGTACATTGACCATTTTACATAAATGGCGAGGAGGTGGAAAGGGTTGGGTAGTTTTAAACTTCTATATCTCGGAGGACCTCTCATGGACTATGAATGCAAACATGCTCGTGAAGAAGGCCCAGAAGAAGAGGCTGCACTTCTTGAGAAGGCTCAGGGAGATAAATCTATCTCATCATCTCCTTCTGTCCTGCTACCGCAGCACCATTGAGAGTGTCCTGACCTACGACATCCTTGCATAGGATGGGAGCAGCTCTGCAGTGGACAAAAAGGCTCTGCAGAGAATCATTAAAACTGCCCAGAATATCATGGGGCTCCAGCTACCAGCCCTGGACGACATCTTCGCATCTCGCCGTTTAAGGAAGTCGCACATTCTCAAAGACTCTTCCCATCCTGCTCACAATCTTTGTGAACTATCCCCAATGAGAATTGCTAAGATGTTTGAAGATAAGTACTGGAAACGTCAGAAGCTACCAGGATCATACTACCCCATGTGGTGGACATGCGCAGAGACTCAAATGTATTGGACTAAAATACACATGTGGCTGGAGAAGATGATAAAGCAACCTATAGATTTAAAAACCAGAGGCATTTTTATTGGGAATTCTGCCCGAGGGTTGTAATAAGGAGTTACCGTATTTGATTATAAATATATGAACAGCAGCTAGGATCGCATTTGCACAAAATTGGAGAAATGGAAAAATTCCAACAGAAGAGGAAATAATTAAGAAAATAATTGAACGTGCAGAAATGAGTAGATTGACAATGGCGATTAGAGAACAAGAAGGAAAAGATGATTATAAAATTTGGAATTTATTTTATGAATGGTTGGATAGAAGAGTAAAGAATTATATAAGCATAGTATATTGTTACCAATAAATAGATGAGCTAACATGTGATATAAAATATTAATAAGAATGATTATAAATATATACAAGTTAAATATGATAATATTATTTTGTGCATGAAGAAATATGTACTCAACCTCAAGAAGGTTTTATGTTTGTTTTTTGTTGTGATAAAAATTTTACAAAATTATTTAAAAAAAAAAACAATCTGTGTTGAACTGCTGCCTTCTGGCAGGAGATACAGAACCATTAAAACTCGGACCACACGTTTTCCGAACCATTTTTATCCCAGAACTATCATTGCACTTAACAATCAACCACCATCAGTTGGACAGGATTACTCGGTCTGTTGTGTGGAGGCTTGTGTGTTTTTAGGAGGTGGGGAATTTTTGGCGGGTGGGTGTTTGGGGATTATCGTGTGTGCGCGCGCGTGTTGAGTCTGGTCTCTGGGTGTGATGTGAATTTCGTTGTATGTTTTTTCGTGCCACGACAATAAAGAATTCGATTCAACTCCCAGAATTCCTCAGCTTTTGGCCACTTGACGACTCATGGGAGTTTGAAGTCCGCCAGTCTTCGAGTGGCCAAGGTTGGAGACCTCTGGGTTTAAGGGGAAACAAGCCAGGCCCACAGACTTTTGGGGTGAAGCACCTGAGCAGGTATGGGGTTCTGATGCCATTATCTTCGGCCTGTCCCCCCCAGATCGAACGCTGCTACTACTTCCTTCACGCCTTCATTGAGACCGCTCAGGAGCCTGTCGACGGGCGGCTGGTGCAATTCCTCCTCACCAACCCTTGCAACGACGGCGGCCAGTGGGACATGCTGGTGAACATCATCGGTAAGACAAGCCAGGCCCCTTGAATGTGGGTGGGTGGGCTTCTGGGTGGGGGGGGGTCTGTGTGAAGCCTCAAAGGGGGCTGCTTTGGAGGAGGGGGCGGGTGTCCCAGGGGTCTTCTCCCCGGAAGTCAGCGCAGAGGCCTCCGGCTTGAGATTGGCCTTCAGGGGTGTCCTCCACTTAACCACCACAACTTGAGCCTTCTCCCTTCTAGCATGGACGATGTTCCCTAGTTTCCTCTTCCCCGGGGCAAGGGAGGGAAGTGAGTTTTGCCCCGTTTTGTGACCTTCCTCGCTATGGTTGTTAAGTGAATCGGGCACGTGTAAAGTTAGCAACATCGGGGGGGGTTGAGTGAAACCTGGCTTTACCCAGTGACTTTGTTTATACCATCCCAACCCTGATAGGGCAAGTTACAAGAAATTAACAAGAGTGCAGCCCTCCCCCTCTACTATCACTGATGATGTTCCCTAATTGGGTCATGAAACGTCTGTAGGAAAACAACCAATCTCAGAGAGCACCAAGGACCCCAAACAATCCTTCTTCTTCTTCTTCTTCTTCTTCTTCTTCTTCTTCTTCTTCTTCTTCTTCTTCTTCTTCTTCTTCTTCTTCTTCTTCTTCTTCTTCTTCCTTTTCTTCTTCCTTTTCTTCTTCTTCTTCCTTTTCTTCTTCTTCCTTTTCTTCTTCCTTTTCTTCTTCTTCTTCCTTTTCTTCTTCTTCTTCCTTTTCTTCTTCTTCTTCCTTTTCTTCTTCCTTTTCTTCTTCTTCTTCTCCTCCTCCTCCTCCTCCTCCTCCTCCTCCTCCTCCTC